ACATTTGCATTTGCAAAGGATCCTGTTTGCATCAGGATCGACGGTATTGTCTCCTTTTTGACACTCGATAATAGTTGTTTTCCACCTATTTTTCTTAAATCTATATCCAGGAGTTGATCAATTTTATTGTTCCTTTTCAAGAACCAACTTTCAGTTTTATTGATCCTCTTTATTGACTGTTTTCTATTTGATTAATTTTTCCTCTTACCTTTATTATCTCCTAACTTTTTGAGGAGTTTAATTTTCCTACCTTATTCTAACCTCTGAGATGAAAGCTTAGCTCATTATTTCCATACCTTTTTCCTTCCTAACATATAAATTTAAGACTATAAACTTTAAGCATGGCTTTAACAGCACCCTGCCTATCTGGCTTAGTAGCAGTAATACCTTTGCCATTTTGAATGGATAAGTCCACTTTTTAACAATTATTTTTAAAATATTAGATCTACCTTTAATTACATCCCTTCATGAGCCTCTAAACTATTTTTTTTTTCTTTTAAGTTACCTGCATGTATTTATTTGACAAAGGAGGGGGAGCTTTCAACTTCCCGTTGTCTAGAGGACAGGTAAGGGAGAAGCAGCACACCTGCCTGTTCCCATTCACTCTTCATTCTCCACACCCAAATCCTACCAGCCCTAGAGTTCCTCCTCCACAAGGCTTTCTCAGCTGATTACTCCCTTCTCCGAGCTGCTACAAGATTTGACGTCTGCTTTCCTCAGATAGACACCTGACAATAAACCGTCTTACTTTTTTCAGGTGTGCAAGGATTTTCAATCAACCTATTGTGGTAAGAAGAGGCACCAGATCCTTACAAATATTTTGTCTCCGTTAGCATGTTTCATGATGCTAGACGTGTGAGTCACAGTCGGAAATCACTTAAGACACAGGCAGAGCAGGTGTATCGGTACAGGGGACACGGCTAGAGTGTCCTGCCCACCTCCTCTCAGCATTTACGTTTCTTATGCGGGCAGCAGCTTCTTACCGCAATCTCCTCCGGCTGTGCCAACGGGCTCTCCAACTGCTCAGCGTGCCGGTCCTGCTTGCAGGGCATTCCACGACGCTGGGAGTTGCGTCAATGACAAACGAGAGCTGGTCCATGAGTACCCAGCCTCCTCTTCTCTGCAGGGGAACGACTCTGGGGCAGCTCTGCACCCTCTCACAGGGGTATCGGTGTGCTGAGCCCCAGAGCCCACAGCGGCCGTGGTCATCTGCTAATCAACGCACTCAGCATTAGCATCCGTCCCTTCCCTGTCTCACCTCCCCACTCCAAATCCTTCCTGGGATCACTTCCCAACAAACTGCTTTGACTTAAAATTAAGTCCTCATCTCAGGATCTACATATGGGGAAATAACCCAAAACTGTCTGTTGGCCTGTCTATCTCTCTGGAGGGATTATCCCTCATTCAGAGATTCACAAAGCTTAAAAATTTTTTTTTTCTTTTTATTTTCCTCTGCTTCCCAATTTTATTTACATGACCAAAACAAACTAATTGTAAATACAAGTTATAAGTTATTCAAATAGCACAAGAAGAATTTTTGGCATCATTTTTTGAAGATGGAGTCTTGCTGTGTCACCGAGGCTGAAGTGCAGTGGCGCAATCCAGCTCCCTGCAACCTCCAACTCCCAGGTTCAAGGGATGCTTCTCCCTTAGGCTCCCGAGTAGCTGAGATTACAGGCATGTGCCACCGTGCCCAGCTAATTTTTTTTATTTTTGTAGAGACAGGGTTTCACCACGTTGGCCAGGCTAGTCTCAAACTCTTGGCCCCGAGCAATCCATCTGCCTTGGCCTCCCAAAGTGCTGCTACTACAGGTGTGAGGCATCGTGCCCTGCCAGTATAATTCTTGAAATTGACTTGGGCAGTTTGGTGACACCTGACCTAAGTCCAAGGGGAAAGCCCAGGGATTCGATTCTGTTGCCATCACTCACTGGAGGTGTGTCCAGGGGAAACTCACACCTTTAGGCCTCAGGTTCCTAATTTTAAAATGAATAGTAACATCCAGTTCCACTAACTTTAGATTGTTGGTTTGAGAAACAAAGGAGAGAACGTATGAGAAAGAGCTTAATAAACTGTGATTACAAACAAAACGTAAGATGAAATAGAGTGTCATCTCTTTTCATGAGGTTCTGGAACTAGTCTTTCCGTGTTTAGAAATCGAATCCCAAGAAAGATAAAAAAAAGAAGGGAGGAAGGAAAGAAGAACAGACTTGCCTAAAAGATAGGTTGTGGTTTTTTTGTTGTTGTTGTTTTGGTTTGGTTTGGTTTTTTGAGATGGAGTCTCACTCTGTCGCCAGGCTGCAGTGCAGTGGCGCAATCTCAGCTCACTGCAATCTCCACCTCCTTGGTTCAAGAGATCCTCCTGTCTCAGCTTCCCAAGTAGCTGGGACTCCAAGAGCGTACCCCCATGCCCAGCTAATTTTGTGTATTTTTAGTAGAGGCCGGGTTTCACCATGTAGGCCAGGATGGTCTCAGTCTCTTGACCTCACGATCTGCCTTGGCCTTCTGAAGTGCTGGGATTACAGGCATGAGCCACCGCGCCTGTCCAAGATGGGTTGTTTTCTAATATTCTCCCCTATCATGGTAAGACATAAACTCGATCTGTGAATTTTATCCAAGTTCTGGGTTTTGTTGAGAAACAAATGAGCTGGGAAGAAAGAACCAGAAAGAAAGATGAACTCACTGCATGGCTAGGCCTAGTAAACATGGGTTGGAAGAGAAGCTATGCTTACTTTGCATTTCCATGTGTGAACAGAGCATGTTATTTATCGTGCCTGGTAGGCACAGAGTAAAGACTTAAATATTTGCCACAATGTTTATGTTTCTTTCTAAATTCAGAAACTTGCCCCATTGGCCAGGAGCAGGGGCTCAGGCCTGTAATCCCAGCACTTTGGGAGACTGAGGCAGGCAGATCACCTGAGGTCAGGAGTTTGAGACCACCCTGGCCAACATGGCAAAACCCTGTCTCTATAAAAAAAATACAAAAATTAGCCAGCAGTGGTGGCATGCACCTGTAATACCAGCTACTCGGGAGGCTGAGGCAGGAGAATCGCTTGAACCCGGGAGGTAGAGGCTGCAGTGAGCTGAGATTGCAGCATTGTACTCCAGCCTGGGTGACAGAGCAAGACTTTGGGAAAAAAGAAAAGAAATGAAAGAGAGAGAGAGAGAGAGAAAAAGGGGTGGGGGGGGAGAGAAAAAGAGAAGGGGAGGGGAGGGAAGGGGAGGGAAGAGGAGGGGAGGGAAAAAATGAAACTTGCCTAACTGCTTCAATCATAAAACTGAATTGTCAATAGTGGAAGACAACGTATAAAACACCTGTGTTTTCCTTTAAGTCATTTAGAATTTATTACTCAGGAAAACAAAATGCTACAAGTTATAGGTCAAAAAATAAGTGTTGAGAAGCTCACTACTAGAAGTAAAGAGATTCAGAAGAATGTGAAGAGAAACATCAAATTATGGGATGTTAAAAACAGAAGCAACCTTGCTGGTCAGCTAATCTAACACTCACCTTTTACAGATGAGAAACGTGACCTCCAAAGAAGGTATATGGCCACGTATCACAATGCCCTATTTCCACTATATCATCATCTGAGGGTTCTGTCAGCTTCATAACTCACATTATGGTTTAAGTCATTTAATCCCCACAATTCTGAAGGCTAATTATTATTCCTAGTATTCCTCCTAAGAAGAAAAGTATTCAGAGCAGGTTGCTCACTTTTTTCATGGTCACACAGCACGTAGAAGCGGACATTTGCCTTAAACGAAGCTATTTTGCCTTCAGCATCTCTGCTCCTTTGAGTTTACACACCTTCCTGTGTACTTTTTTCCTACAGCAGAGAGAGGACAGGGCAGGGAAACAATTCATTATTTAACCCTATAGGAATAGGGTTATTAAAACCTGACCTTTACTCCAAAAACTATCATTTACTGTTCAAAGGAAACACCAGACAGTGCTCACGCCTGTAATCCCAGCACTTTGGGAGGTGGAGGAAGGCGGAGGCAGGCGGATCACGAGGTCAGGAGTTCAAGGCCAGCGTGGCCAATATGGTGAAACCCTGTCTCTACTAAAAAATACAAAAATTAGTCGGGCACGGTGGCGGGTGCCTGTAGTCCCAGCTATCTGGGTGGCTGAGGCAGGAGAATCACTTGAAACCGGGAGGGAGGCAGAGGTTGCAGTGAGCCAGGATCGCGCCACTGCACTCCAGCCTGGGCAACAGAGTTAGACTCCACCTCAGAAAAAAAAAAAGAAAGAAAACAAAGAAACATGCTAGAGGTTAAAGTGGCAACTGCTAAGGGTTCAGACTGTGAATGAATGAACAAACCAATGCTTGACTTCCTAATTCAATATGGAAGTCACCAGAAATTACCTCACACGGCCACACGATGTCACTACTTCACACCACTTCAGAAAAATCACATTCAAGTCAAGAATTTTAGCTCGTTTGGACAGAGAGAATTTCTTGCTCACCATTGAGAAAGGTTTAGTTATTTTGTATGTGTTTGGGAAGTGCTTCCTTATTTTCTCTTAAATCTACCTCAAGAGATACTGCAAAATGTAGACTTTAAATGAGGCCTTGAGACTAAATTCTCTAAAGCTGGGAAGCATTAATCAGTAAGTCAGTCACTTACCTGTTTCCAGGGACTCCTCAGCAAAAACAAGGGCAGGACGAACACTTTCACTGCTCCAGTACTCTGCCCTGTGTGCAAAACTTTCTCTCAGCACTTTCTGGTAAGTCTACCTCTTCTCAGTGCTTCAGGTTCTCTCTCTCTCTCTCTCTCTCTCTCACACACACACACCAACACACACACAGAAAAATAGTGATTCAGCAACATCCAAAAGGCAGCACATTGGAGTTTTAAATTGTGCTTTCTTCTTGAAATGTTTGCCTCACACTGTTCTTACCAATAATAAGGTTCAAATTACTGAAGTGAGTTTACATAAGCTACTCATGCATTTAATTATTCCGTTCAGGGCTATCCTATGCTTACTGGTATTTTTTTTAGTATCATCGGAATCCAGTTTGCAAATCATCGTTTCAAGTTCTTAAAAAGTTTTAAAACACCAAAATGACGTTAACCAAACTTAATATTTCAGCTCCAGCTCTATTTAACAATGACAAGATAAGCTTCAAACTTATTTTGATTGAAATACTTTAGTCATATGAGATCAACTGATGCTGGTAGATTGATTTTTAACAGTCCTAGAAAGTTTTGGAGTTTGATGTATTTTATCAGCATTCTCTATTAGATTCCCCTTCGTAACATTGAAATTGTTGACAAATAATCTTCTTTAATTAACAATTCAAGTTGGATGAGCCTGAGCCCTTTCCAGAGCTTACTCATAAAAAGAAGCTGCTTGGTGGGTTTGGAAATCATTCAAGTTTATAGACCAAAAAAGCTGTTTTGCCTTAAAGGTCCACATTTCCTGAACAAATATATCCTACTTACTGAGAAGCTAAATGAACAGTCACTTCCCAAGCAGACGGTTAAATGGTTCAGAGAAGGGGGCCTCAACCTCCATTGTGATGGACATAAAATACATAAAAGTAATTTCTTACTAACAAGAGTTTAAAGATTTATGGTTTGCAAGTGATTTGCCACTTATTAAATAAATTACCTAACCACATTCAAGTCAACCCCCATTACGACTTCGCTGGTTTTCATTCCTTGCTACACCCCTTAGAGGAGAAGAGAAAGAGATGGACGATTTCATGGCACGGGGACACTCTCATCCTATAAAATTAAATGGAAAATTAAAATTCGAAACTCTACAGGAAGTATTAGACTTTCCTAAAGATAAATGCCTACGCCAAAGACCAACCAGAAATATAAAACAAAACAACCCTCTCAAAACAAAACTAGAAATAAACTGCCGACAGGGGCGGGGATTATAGATGCCATATTCCTTTTCTGTATTTTCAAATTTTTGTAAAAGGAATATATAGTTTTAAACAAAGTAGCAGAAACCAAATGCCCAACAATTAGGGCAATGCTTTTCAAAATTATGGCTCGTTTATGCACGGACTATTATGCAACCATCAAAATCAACTTTTAGGAAGCGTCTACAATAATATGGAGACGTGCTTGGGATATGAAACATTTGCAACAAGTTGAAATGCTCAATAAGGGGCACAGAATTTCTCTGAAAAGCCACATAAGAATAGAACAGTGACTGCATCCAGAGAATGAAACCGGAGGGCTGAGGGCAGGCCTAGGAGGGAGAATTACATTTCTCTGTACATTTTTTTCCTCACTGATCCAATGGCAAAACATAATTCTGGCAATACCAAGTAACGATGAGAATGTGGACAGAGAAAAACTGTTACGCATTTTGGGGAAAGAAAAAATTCATACAACCAGCTGGAGAACAAGAGCAATGCAGAACAAGACTGCATCTCTTCACACTAAGATCCTGCAAAGCCACTTCATGATGTCCACCCTGTCACCAGAGAAATGCAAAAGAATGCTCCCCGTAGCATTGTTTATTGTCACAGAAACGTCAAGAACCACCAAATGTCTGTGTGGGCTGAACTACGCCCTCCCTGAATTCGGATGTTGAAGTTCTAGCCCCCGCGACTTCAGAATGTGACTATAGCAACAGATAAGGTCTCTGAAAAGGTAAATGAGTTAAAATGAGGTTATTAGGGTGGGCCTTAATCCAATATGACTGATGACCTTATAAAAAGAGGAGACGGTCAAGCTTGGTGGCTCATGCCTGTGATCCCAGCATTTTGGGAGGCTGAGGCAGGTGGATCACCTGAAGCCAGGAGTTCAAGACCAGCCTGGCCAACAAGGCGAAACCCTGTCTCTACTAAAGATACAAAAATTAGCTGGGTGCAGTGGCAGGTGCCTGTAATCCCAGCTACCTGGGAGGCTGAGGCAGGAGAATCCCTTGAA